CCCCAAAACCTCAAAACCCCAAAACCCCAAAACCCCATGAGTAAAATAATTCAACTGACTTTACTTAAATAGTGAAATGTTAAATAGGAATAAAAGAAGATTTAGTTTATGGCTGTTCTGATAATATCTCAATTCCTGTATACTGTCTTTGGACACTCTGACATCTTATTTTCTCTATTGCAACAACTCCAATGAGAATTGTTTCCCTGATATTAACATCCATTTCCACAATTTTTACAGTAGCAATTTCTAGAGGAGCAATCTGACCTCTAACACTTTTAATGCCAATATCCTGGATGCGTTGAACAATCAGATTCAAACTATTCATTAAGACAGCAAGTCCAATGGCCCTGCCTGTCTCCATGATAACCACAATTTACACCATTAGGTAATTCGCCACAGTTATCGCAATAACATGTTTCCTTTGTGCATCCTTTCCTTAGATCGCAAGGTTTATGCCAGACTCCATGATGCTTTTTGGGATTTGTGTATAGCCTCAAAATTGCTCCTAAGTCTCCTAGTGAGAATATATCACCGTTATCAGCTCTCTATTGGGCTTCTTAGGTTGCCTAATAAACACCATTTGAAAAATGACCGAACTTCATAAGTGAAAATTAATCGTGAGAACCTAGAGGGATTCCATTCATGTTGATTAGAGTAGACACATCGAATCCCTCATGAGTAAAACCTGCACAGTGCATCATTTCGTGAAGAATACATGCTACTCTTAAGGGAGTGCCATTTTGGTACTAAGTTGGTAATGAGATGAATTAGTTATTGGTTTTCCAGCATCCCACATGAGAGGTAGGTGGCGCCATATCATTCTAAATAAAGTTGACATAGTAAGTTGAAGTTTCAACTGCTGGGATAAACACACAGTGAGGCTGATTCCATTGATTCCATTTTTAAATTGCAGTTTGCACTTTTTGGTACAGAGTCACGTTTTAAGGGTTAATTTGAATGACAAAGTAAACCTTTCCACCAGGCCATCGACCTCCAACACCTCCTGGGGCTACAAACCCTTATTCTTTTAGCGTAGGCTAGTATTAGTTATTAGTTCCTCCATTTGGGCGATTTTCTGAATGCCTGCTACCAGTTCCGCAACAACCTCCCATTTTAATTTGATACTTTTCCTTAAATAAATTAATTTTTTACTCTAAGGTGACACACCTATTTTTATTTCCATAGACTTTACTCGCGGGGTTTTGGGGTTTTGGGGTTTTGGGG